AACAACATGTGTTGCCAAGCAGAACTGAGGAATTGTTCAACGAGTGCAGGAGTCTCTTAAAGTACAAAGCATGTGTTAAAGTTTTAGGGGCGCAGCTGATATGCCCCAAGAAGAATGTCAGCACTACCAACGGGCTGCCAGTCCACTCTCGGATAGTGCCTGATAGTCGTGTGGAATGCGAGACTGATGCGTGGGGACTGCTTCTTTGCCCAAACGAGGGCGCTCTTGATTCCCACTTGGATGTGGAGCTTTAGGTCAGTGGGTCGTTGCTCACGACTGAGGCGGTTGCACGGATCGCTCTTGGTAGGCTTGAGGCAGGCAGAAGGGACAGCTTGCGTCAGGTCCACACTGGTGCTTGGCAAGCCGAGCACTGAACGCATGGGCGCAGCATGTCACCCAAGGTTACAGTATGGATTCCTGAGCGGGTCTTAGAGTGCAGTCGTTCCTGACTCTGCCCATCTCTGCCCAAAACAGTGGCTGCAAGGATTTGACGTCGTTCTTTGCTGGTTTGGCCACTGCTGAAGCACTTGTCGACCACGGCCTGCTTTGCGCAACTGCACACAAATTGTTGTTCATTCACAGCGTTGCAGCATCAGCAGATCCAGTAGACTACAGTATGTTCAAGACCGCTTGCAAAAGATCAGCAAACGCATTGTGGATTGTTCCTTGCCAACCCATATTGAAGTTGTTACCCGAGTGCAGGTTTTTTCAAGCACCAAGCATTTTCCTTCCCCAGATCCCGAGTGTATAGTTTTGGGGGCGCAGCTAATATGCTCCAAGAAGAATGTCAGCACTACCAACTGGCTGCCAGTCCACTCTCGGATAGTGCCGGATAGTCGTGTGGAATGCGAGACTGATGCGTGGGGACTGCTTCTTTGCCCAAACGAGGGCGCTCTTGATTCCCACTTGGATGTGGAGCTTTAGGTCAGTGGGTCGTTGCTCACGACTGAGGCGGTTGCACGGATCGCTCTTGGTAGGCTTGAGGCAGGCAGAAGGGACAGCTTGCGTCAGGTCCACACTGGTGCTTGGCAAGCCGAGCACTGAACGCATGGGCGCAGCATGTCACCCAAGGTTACAGTATGGATTCCTGAGCGGGTCTTAGAGTGCAGTCGTTCCTGACTCTGCCCATCTCTGCCCAAAACAGTGGCTGCAAGGATTTGACGTCGTTCTTTGCTGGTTTGGCCACTGCTGAAGCACTTGTCGACCACGGCCTGCTTTGCGCAACTGCACACAAATTGTTGTTCATTCACAGCGTTGCAGCATCAGCAGATCCAGTAGACTACAGTATGTTCAAGACCGCTTGCAAAAGATCAGCAAACGCATTGTGGATTGTTCCTTGCCAACCCATATTGAAGTTGTTACCCGAGTGCAGGTTTTTTCAAGCACCAAGCATTTTCCTTCCCCAGATCCCGAGTGTATAGTTTTGGGGGCGCAGCTAATATGCTCCAAGAAGAATGTCAGCACTACCAACTGGCTGCCAGTCCACTCTCGGATAGTGCCGGATAGTCGTGTGGAATGCGAGACTGATGCGTGGGAACTGCTTCTTTGCCCAAACGAGCGACCTCTTGATTCCCACTTGGATGTGGAGCTTTAGGATGCAGACTCCCATTTTTGCTGGAGCATCAGGGAAAGCCTGCCTGCTTGCATGCATCCTTTTGCCAGGTTGCTGAAAACTTGTGCATTTCACAATAGCTCAGGCAACAATAGGGCCGAGTGGGTTGTTGGGCAGCCAGGTGGCACGTTCTAAGTGCGGCAAACCTGGAGAAGTACTGCTTGTTGTCAGGCATGTTCTGCAGATTCACGCTTGACATAAGGCTACCTGCATGACGCCGGTCTGCTTGCCATGAAGCGGGCTCGTGACGTGTTGCCCGTTGACACCTTGCAGAAAAGTGGCAACACGCGCCCCGAAGCCGAGCTGGAGTGCTGGGACGTGAGCTTGCTCTCCTCTGCTGGGCGGCCAGTGAAGCCGGGACGGCCCCTTGCATACATGCTGCAGCTGGGCGCGAGTTTGCAAGCACGTGCAAAGTGTTTCCTGTGTGGCAGACGGCAACACCCAGCCTGCAGTCACGAGCAGAGACGAGAGGACGCGCGGCACATGCACATCTTTCGCACTGAGCCCGTGTCAGCGCCAGCCTTGCATACCTGGCTTGCAACGCCCACCACGGTCATTCCTGTCAGGCCAGACACGGTTGCTGTGCTTGCCGTGCCATTTGCATTCCGAAGATTTTTGGCCCCAGTGAATTGCTTCAGTGATGAGAGGGCTCTCGACGACGTCGAATTGCTCACCTGAGCTTCAACCCCGCCTTTGAGACTGTCGTCACCTGCGATGAAATGGCCCGGGGGGAGGCACAGCCCGGGGGCATTGCCTCTGGCGCTTTAGTGCCCAGGCAATGTAAGCATTGCCCGGGGGGAGGCACAGCCCGGGGGCATTGCCTCTGGCGCTTTAGTGCCCAGGCAATGTAAGCATTGCATCGAAGATGCATGGCTGCTGGTCTTGCACTCGATTTTGCGGGTGACCAGTCCTGAGGCGACGCTCACAAACGCGTGCCGGTGTTTGCAGCCCAAGGTGTGCTCTGTCTGCTCCGTGCGCTGAAACTCGTTTTTGATGATCCGGTACTGGATGCCGCTTGATGAGCAATCGGCGGCTGCAGAGCGAGTGGCAAGTCATGGGTTCGGACAAGAGATGCTCACCACGCCCGGACTTGGCCAGACGGACACAGCCACGCCTGAGAAAGGTCTTGTTTGAAGTCTGGAGCCACTTTGGCATCTCGCTGTGTTCCCCCTGGGGCCGCGTGCTCGCCTTTTGCAAATGTGGCAATGCACAGAGGTAATCTCGGCAAGATTGGAGCGCATGTAGCACCGTAGCACCCACGATTTGTGAACCAATTCCTGAGAGCGAGTTTGGACGCAAGTCAGACCAGGACCTGGACCTGGGCCAGTCAGACAAGTCAGACAGGTCAGACATGTGACAGACATGGCAGTTGCAACGTCAAGATAGAGGCATGAAAACTATGCAAACCATGCAAACTATGCAACGTATCTGTGGCAACATCAATAATTGCAATGAGCTCGCGGATGCGCCAAGCAACCGCTTTAAGGTGAAGCTCGCCAGTTTGGCAAACCGTGTTTGCACGTGTCAGCCACTTCCAACTGACGGCCTTTCCATCAGCGCTTTACGAAGCGCTTCACACCGGTTCAGGGGCAACAGGTATGCAAACTCTCATCCATCAACATTTCTGCCAGCTCTGGTTAGCTTGAGTAAAGCCGCACGAAGCGCTCGAAGTGAGCTCAGCAAGCTGAGTTTAAAGAAGTCTGCTTAAACTCACTAAAGCAGCAGGTTTGAATGCAACATGGAAAGTGCAATCCAGACATTTCATCGCTTGCACAGCTCCAGGTATCACACCCGTCTTGGTGCAACTGGCCCACCCTCCCCAGCCTGGCACGACCTTTGGGTACACAGGCCTCACGGTGAGGCGACAGACCCTTGTTGCGAGCCGGGCAGTCGCGACCCTCGCCCGCGAGGCTCAAGTGGCCGAATCCGACTTTGCTGACCTGGCGTGACGGTCTCGACAGGTCCCAGACGAGTATGTCAATGTCCCCAGGTTGTGGACACCTGACGTTGAGACGACGGGGACTCTGGTGCCGGCCAAGGCCAAGGCCACGTGCGAGGACCGGGTCAAGCCAGCGGTGATATGGCTCAGCCAAGTAGCGTGTGCATCTGCGTGACGGCCACATCAGTCGCCCGCCGTACGTGCAGCGCAAGCAGCGCGTGCAGCGCGTGCAGCGCGTGCAGCGCAAGCAGCGCATGCAGCGCATGCAGTGCATGCAGCGTTGCGTGCTCCACTGTGGAGTGCAAGAAGCGGTGCCCATTCCAGGCGGCCCAGCTGAACTGCCGGTGCTGTCCTGACAGTCACGAACCTTATCAGGCTTACCAGACTTGCTTTGAGAGCTGGGCCAAGCCTGCCCTCGGCGGCCTTGGCAGCCTCGGCAGCCTCGGCAGCCTTGGCAGCCTCGACTGTACGATCCCAACATGGCATCATCACGATTCGAAGCTTGAACCTATCTTGATTAGAGATGACGGCCTCAGGCCGCCATTCTTTGCGCAGCTGGTGATAGCGCCTTGGCCGGTGCTGTCCGTGATTTGTGGCACCCGTCGGAACTTGCCTGTGACGTTCAGCGGCAGCCTGGCACAGGCCTAGTAGCTTCGGAAGCGTCGGAACGACCGGGATACGTCGCCTGCGTCCAGGCCCGCTGCGTCGCGTCACCGGGCCCGTCATCGATAGCCTCGTGCGCCTTGGGCAAACCAAGTGCAGCTCTGCCCCAGCACATGCGTGACGGGGCTGTGCGTTGCGTGTGTGCCTGCCCGAAGCGGCCTGCATCCCAGCCCTATGGCTGGGCCCCTTTTCCTTTGTGCGACATCGCGGTATGTGAAGCTGCAAGTGGACCAGGTAGCAATGTTCCACTTGGCCACAGAACCGACAAGTCTTGAGTGTCCAAGTGGCCAGCAGTCGCTTGTGTGTAGCAAGTCAGCATGGGACTTGTCAGAGGTTTGAGCCAAAGAAACTGCCAATGACGCTGCCTCGGGTGACAGGAATTCCAGCGACATTGGACTTGAGGCACAGCTCAGATGCTCGTGCAGGCAGCCTGGCGCTTGTGCGCCAGAAAGGCCCCAGACAGCCTTGAAAAGATTGAAGTCCAAGGGTCCTGAGCCGGTGGTGCAAGAAGGTCAAGAAGGCGTGGCGCAGCCCAGCGCCATGAGCTTGCTGGCCCTCGCAGCAAGGGCCCTGCTGGCCATCGTCACCTGCCCATGAAGTTGCAGTGCCAAGCATGCCGCGCCAGCCGCGCCAGCCGCGCCAGCCGAGTTGTACCCACCAAGCCGCGCCAGCAACCGCCAGTAGCTTCGAAGCACCGCCAGTAGCTTCGAAGCTTTCCAAGTGATTCCGAGAGCATCGCTGGCCCTCGTGGGCCGCGCGCGGGCTGCGCAGACGCAGACGGCGCCCATGGCGTCAATGGCGCCGGTGGCGCCTATGGCGCCCGTGGTAGGGGGCACCGTGGCACGTGCTGTCCTGGCTGCCCCTGCACTTCAGTGGCTGATGCTGCTGCGGCCGCGGCGGCCGCTGGTGACGTGGCCAAGGCTAAGGCCGCCAAGCCCGCGGCCTGCAGCGGGTGTGCGGGTTCTGGTGATGGCCAGTCCAGCCCGGTGCAGTCCAGCCGTCGGCCCCACAGGCTTGCAGAGCTTGCAGGGCTTGCAGGGCTTGCAGGGCTTGCAGGGCTTGCAGGGCTTGCAGGGCTCGCAGGGCTTGCAGGGCTCGCAGGGCTTGCAGAGCCTGGCCTGACACCCCCGGTGCTGCCCGACCTACTGGCAAGCCTCAACTACTGGCACAAGGTGTCGGCCCTGTACTACTCAACGCGTCCCAACTCCCTGTGCTAGCCTGGACGCCTCCAAAGTTGCAGTTTCTGATTCCGACCTCAAAGTATGCTAGACCTCTGATGGAAACTTCAGTCTCTGCTCCAGGTGAGTCCCTCCCGACCTTTGCCGCGGCTGGTGTCCTTTGACCATGCCCCTTACACGTTCCAAGCCTGCCAAGTTGAGTGCCTTTCTCTCCGAGAACGCAAACGATGCAACTCTCTTGTTCCCGAGATGGATGCCAGGCCCAAGCGAGACGAGTGCCGCAGTGATCTGCTCTGCACGTGATTCTCCCGTCTGCCGACCTGCGGCAATCCGGCAATCACCCCTACCCACCCTTCTTCGTCTGCACTTGCCAGAGGGGTGAGGTGACCAGTCCCCCTCCGGCTGCACATCTCCATGCGCATGCGAGCGCAGGCTCTTGTGACAATGCGTGTCGCAGGCTGGCGAGATCCTTACGAAGCCAGCTGTTTGTGTTTGGCGTTTGAAGGGAAAAGGAGCTATTGGGCCTCCAAAGCCATGCTGAAACCCTTCTTGCACACGTTTCAAGGCCACATGCTGGCTTGTCAACCTTGCTCGCAGTGCCGAGGCGTTGCGTGCACAGAGCGAGCCGTCGGTCGCTACCCTGCCAAGAGCCGTGCGTGACTTGAGGCCAGCCTGAGGGCCAGGCGAACGGGTTGAGGAATCAGGGCGAGGCAAAGCGGCACATGAGATGAGGGTCCAGGCGATGTCCTGAGTCAGTGGCCTTGTCGAGTGTGCGTATCAGTGCGCCAAGCTCCGCAGAGCCATACATGTATGCACGTGCCAGCTCCCCAAGCCAAAGTGCCACATGTGGCCACACGTGTTTGCCGCGCGCTGTCAGCGGGAAGGCGGGAAGCGGACGCACCATGCGGACCATGCCCATGCTACAGGGACTGCATGGATGACCGCCCTCTGCTCAGCCCCCGATTGCCTCGGTGCGCGCGCGGGGACGGGCAGGTCTCGCGAGGCCCAGCGTCGCCCAGCCGGGGCCAGGGCCGCAAGGCCTTTGCCTGCAGGTCATGCAGAGCGTGCAGGACGCACAGGGCTTTGCAGTGTGCAGGGGAACAGCGGAGACTGGCGCACATGGCGCCTTCGCCGTGCCACACCCGCTCCAAATGTGAGGAATTGAATCTCTCGTGTTCGTGTGTTGCTTGAGTCGCGTCCCGTGTGTCCCACGTGTCACACGCGAGCGGGGGCTCGGTCTGAGGCTCGGGCTGCTCAGGCGACGCACGGGCTTGAAGGCTCGAGTTTCGTTCCAGATGCAAAGCGTCTTGCGTAGTGTCGTGCAACGCCCCGCGCAACGCGTGCTCGCGCAGCCTTCCTCGAGCTTGGCTCGGACAACTTCAAAGACAGCAATCACAGCAGCACTCTTGATTTGCAGCAGAACCAATGCAGCTCGGGCCGCTTGGGTCGATCGTCATGCGAACAGGGAGAGCCAGATATCAAATTGCCAAGATCTGGGGTTGCTGAGCACGCGGCCGCTGAGCTCTCATTGGCCCCTGCGTGAACCCGTGATGCTCATTCTCCGGAGCCCGTGCCACAGCTCGAAGGCCAACAGGCCGAAGCGGCGGTGTTGCTTCATCAGATGACGGCGCATCAGAAGATTGAGCTCGACAGTGTGCATTGCGTGCTGAAAAAACCCGTGCCCACGCCACTGCCGCATGCGTCCTTGGCACAGGGTCGAAGACTGCGTGAGAGGAAACTCTGCAGACCTATGAGGCCCCTGAAGCCCGCACGCCTGCGTCATTGACACAATCCCACCGGACCCGTCGGATCCGTGGGAGTTATCGGACAGATCCTGTTCCGAAGCTGAAGGCGAAAGTTGGCAGAGTGGCCAAGGCTTGTGTGTCATGCAAAGTGCTTAGGCCCCAACCCTTGACATGCCCAGAATGCGAAGAAGCCCAAGATGCCCATTTGACGGGCAGCCTGGGTTTGTAGACACCGTTTTGCTCGTTTAAAGCATGCCTCACATGTGTTCATGAGCATGCCTTTGGTGAAGGGAATCAAGCTAAGGTTTGAGAATAGGATGCAGACTTGAGCACAAGATGCACCGAATGCCGCACAAAGTGCACAAAGTGCAATTGAGCGAAGACTAGTGGCAGCCGCATTCGGGCTTGCCTCGAGCACCTCTGGTCCCAGAACTCCCAAGATTGTGCAGCAAAAACTGATCGCCATAAAGGCGCGTGTGAGGCAAGGGTGCTTGGGATCTTCCCAGGTTCTTGCATCTTTCAGGTCTTGCGACCCCGAGGACCTTGCCATTTAGTGTCTGGCAGAGGAGCCAGAACTTTCCAAATTCAGATACGACCTTGCCAAGGAGCGTCAAAGTGCACAGCAGGCCTCTCTGAGCCTTGTCTACGCTCTCGTGCTGCATGCTTAAAAAAATACAACTTTAGCTGAAGTCAGGTCCTTCTTGACTCTGCACATGAACCCCCTGCACCCGACCCAGAGTCAGGTGCTTGAGAGAAAGGCGTAAGGGTAGCTGTACGCACCCCGATTTCCCACACATCTGTTGTGCCAAAGTGTGCTGAAAGCAGTGCCCTGATATCATCACCTCACCATGTTGCGGCACCATTTGAAAGCTTGACAGCGAAAAGAGTTCTGGCTACACTTCCATCACATGGGGTGCAATTGTACTCCTGTCGGAGCTGCCGGATCATGCAGCTGACCGCCAGCCAACCAAGCGGACAAAAAAGGGGTGCGAGAGTCGCATGCATTCGAAGTTGGTCAGCCATATTTTGGCATTCTGGACTGTTCTGCCGCTGTGCCTTAGTGTCAGCAAATTGCAGGGGCAAAGTGTCAGGATTCTGGCACCGCGTTTGCTTGAACTTAATTCGACTTCACACACACACACACACATCACAGACAGCCTGCACCCGTTCCTAGGATTCGAGGGTCTCTCTTGCATTTTCAGCGTGTTGAATTCAGCAGAAGTCAAAGAATTCTTGCTTAGGGTTTGGGAGCCATTTCTGACTCAAGTGCACGTGGGAAGAAATCAACCATTTGTTTGTTTGTGATGGCCATTCTTGCTGCTTGAGTTATCTCCATTCACGGCCGCCTCCCCGTGGTCAGGACAATTGGACACAAACCGGCGCAACCCTTCTGGCGACCACCAATCAGGACTTTGCAATCGCCAGGGTGCATTGGCTCACCACCTCAATTTCCTGCGTGCAGCGTCGCTCGCTATCGTGCATCTTTGCTTGACGCCGCTCGCAGGTCAGCGAGATCGCTTTGAAAGTGACATGCTGAGTATAAGGCCGAGCAATCAGAGCAGCCCCCCAGCTCGACCAGCACCACAGCAGCCGCTACCACAGCACCTTCGGCCCACAAGCATACTAAACAAATACAATCCTGAAACTAACCAGCACCGAAAAACAGCTCGACCAGCACCACAAGCAGCCGCTACCACAGCACCTTCAGCTCACAAGCATACTCAAGAAAAACAATCCTGACCCAAAAACAGCTCGACTAGCACCACAGCAGCCGCTACCACAGCACCTTCGGCCCACAAGCATACTAAACAAATACAATCCTGAAACTAACCAGCACCGAAAAACAGCTCGACCAGCACCACAAGCAGCCGCTACCACAGCACCTTCAGCTCACAAGCATACTCAAGAAAAACAATCCTGACCCAAAAACAGCTCGACTAGCACCACAAGCAGCCGCTACCACAGCACCTTCGGCCCACAAGCATACTAAACAAATACAATCCTGAAACTAACCAGCACCGAAAAACAGCTTGACCAGCACCACAAGCAGCCGCTACCACAGCACCTTCAGCTCACAAGCATACTCAAGAAAAACAATCCTGACCCAAAAGCAGCTCGACTAGCACCACAGCAGCCGCTACCACAGCACCTTGGGCCCACAAGCATACTAATCAAATACAATCCTGAAACTAACCAGCACCGAAAAACAGCTCGACCAGCACCACAAGCAGCCGCTACCACAGCACCTTCAGCTCACAAGCATACTCAAGAAAAACAATCCTGACCCAAAAACAGCTCGACTAGCACCACAAGCAGCCGCTACCACAGCACCTTCAGAGCACACTCAACAAAGCAATCCTGACCAGCAAGCAGCACCCCTAACCAGCACCCAAAAACAGCTCGATTAGTATTGCAAGCAGCCGCCACCTTCAGCCCACAAGCATACTCAACAAAGCAATCCTGACCAGCAAGCAGCACCCCTAACCAGCACCCAAAAACAGCTCGATTAGTATTGCAAGCAGCCGCCACCTTCAGCCCACAAGCATACTCAACAAAGCAATCCTGACCAGCAAGCAGCACCCCTAACCAGCACCCAAAAACAGCTCGATTAGTATTGCAAGCAGCCGCCACCTTCAGCCCACAAGCATACTCAACAAAGCAATCCTGACCAGCAGCAGCAGCACCCCTAACCAGCATACTCAACAAAGCAATCCTGACCAGCAAGCAGCACCCCTAACCAGCACCCAAAAACAGCTCGATTAGTATTGCAAGCAGCCGCCACCTTCAGCCCACAAGCATACTCAACAAAGCAATCCTGACCAGCAAGCAGCACCCCTAACCAGCACCCAAAAACAGCTCGATTAGTATTGCAAGCAGCCGCCACCTTCAGCCCACAAGCATACTCAACAAAGCAATCCTGACCAGCAAGCAGCACCCCTAACCAGCACCCAAAAGCAGCTCGATTAGTATTGCAAGCAGCCGCCACCTTCAGCCCACAAGCATACTCAACAAAGCAATCCTGACCAGCAAGCAGCACCCCTAACCAGCACCCAAAGCTCGATTAGTATTGCAAGCAGCCGCCACCTTCAGCCCACAAGCATACTCAACAAAGCAATCCTGACCAGCAAGCAGCACCCCTAACCAGCACCCAAAAACAGCTCGATTAGTATTGCAAGCAGCCGCCACCTTCAGCCCACAA